CAGGAGCCCCATAAGCAGACCACCCCATACACACAGCCCCCACCCAAGCACCAGCCCCAGCTTCTGAGCCCCAAGCCTGTGCCACGTATGTGAGCCCTGTCCCATCCCATTGCCAGCAGAGTCCTGTGCACTGACCCCTGGGTGTCCAAGGCCCAGGTCCATCACACACCTCAGCCCTCTGTGCTGGTTTGGGCAGAGGTACCATTAGATCCCCCCTGCATCCTCTGCCCTATGCGAGGGCTGACCTGCACTAGGGAAGAGAGGACCAGGGGCAGCATGGCCATGGGGAAGCGCAGCACGTTGAAAAGGGAGATGGCAGTGAAGGCCTTCTGTGCATCCAGGATGTTGTTCTCATCCACCAGTACGTAGACAGCAAAGCTGGCCAAGGAGACCTAGGAGAGAGAGCAGGGAAAGCCACCATCAGTGTGGTTGTGTGCGGCCCAGACCCCCATGCTCCCCTAAGACTCCAGCAGTACCTTCCTGCTGGAGACCTGTTCCCCTCCTGCTTCCCTTCTCCTCTGGGCCCTGTCTTACCACTCTGATGGGACCCCTTTCCACCATGGCTCTCCTGCCCACAGCCAGGACCATACTCTGCATCCCAGGCATCTGTCAGCCAGCCCCTTCCTCACTGCAGAAGCATGCCAGCCAAGGTTCCCAGTCCTTCCCATCCCCTCGGATACAGCCCAACCCCAGCTCTGAGGAAGGTGCAGCCCTCCCCACCAGCACTCACCAGGAAGGGGGCACATGTGAACACAAAGATAGAAATCGACTGCAGGTAACTGAAGTTCACCAAGTCCTTGAGCTCGCGTGCGCGGATCTCATTGACTCGCTTCTCAAATGAGGGCTCCCAGGCAAAAAGCTTCAGGATCTGTGGGATGAGCAGGATGAGCAGGTGCTGGCCTCATGGGAATGCCCACCTCCATGCTCAGCTCGCTGGTGGCCAGCACCTCAGTCAGCTCCTGGCTTGCTCAGAAGCCTGCTTGGCCACTGCGTCTCCCCTCTCCTGTCCTGCCCCATGGCTTATAGAATCATAAAATAGAATCATAGAACCATCACAGTTGGAAAAGACTTCCAAGATCATCAAGACCAACCATCAATACATTATAGCACTTCCCCACAGCATTCCCACTCACTCATCCTCAGCTTACAGGTCAGCCCCTCTGCCACCGTGGCAGCCTGCTCACCACCACAGCCATCCAGGAAACCCCCAGAAAACCTTCTCCTCGTTCCCGAGTCTTGGTCCAGGTACCCAGAGCTCCTCCCCAGCCAACCTTTTAAAAGTTGAGCAAGCCAAGGGAATTACAGAGACTGAGGCTTGGCTACCCCAGACACAGGGCTCCAAGCTAGACTGTTAACACCGGCGCTGTAGGGCTATACAGGTGTTCTGCCTCCAGGTACAGTGCACCAAGGAGAAGGGTGCAGCAGCTGCCTGGGGGGTCTCCAGGCCACTGCTCACCTTGATTCCATTGAGGATTTCACTCATTATTTTCATGCGTTCATCCTTATTCTTCATGTTCCTCACCTACAAACAGAAGAGCCAGAGGTCACCTAAACCAGACAGCAGCTCACCCTTGGAAATACATCCGGGCTGCTACAGGGAAGGGAAGGGTGGGCTCCAGAGTCCAGAGAAGCCATCCCACAAAGCTGGACCTTGGCTCCCTGGGGCTCTGGACAACCTGGGAAAAAACAGCACCCTGGTACAAGCTAGAGCTTTATTTTATGGTTGGTAATACCTCGCTTTCAGTCCTCAAGGCTGCACCCAGCCCTGTTCAAGTTCAGCTGTGATGGTAGAGCAGATCTCACCTGCCTCCTGCTCATCTCAGCTGATCACCCCCTGTCTCAGACTACAGACACCCCTAACCCAAGTCAGATGAACTTCCTAGGCTGGGAAAGATCTGCAGCATAACAAGGAAGAGTAGGGGAGTGTGGAAAACGAGTGAGGGGAGCAACAGTAGGAATCAGGAGTGGGGGACCAGGGAGGATCTTGCACCCACCACTGACCTGGATGGCTTTGGCCTTGGCGACCAGGAACCCATTTATGGGGATGAGCAGCACCATGACTGCGATGCCAGCCAGGACAGAGGGGCCCAGCTCTCCCCACAGGAAGACAGTGGACAGGATAATTTGCAGGGGGGATGACCACAGCTGGTGAACGAAGTTGGCCATGTCCATGAACCTCTGGGCATCAGCTGACATCAGATTCACAGTCTCTCCCACCGTGGACTTCTTGCGGGTGGCACTGGACATGGTGAGTGCCTGGAGAGAGAAAGCATAGTCACCGCAAGCTGGTCTGGGGGCAGCCTGGCTGCCAGCAGCATGGCACAGAGCAGGGAATTAGCAGGCCAGGCTGAAACTGCTCCTGGGCCACGGGTGCTGTCATCACTGCCTGCACACCAGGAGCCACTGGATGCTGGGGGCTAAGAAACACATCCCCGTGCAGGAACCCCAGCAGCAGCTGCCCTAGGTGTTGCACTGCTCTGAAGAGAAACCTCCCTCGGCCCCTGGTAGCTGTCAAACACACAGCCACAGCAGCCAGGTCCCAGGCAGAACTAGCACCCGCAGTGTCCCCAGCGCTGGGTGGGTGTCCCAAAAGCCCAGCTCTCCCTGTGTATTCCTGGGAAGTAAAGGGCATACACCCCAGTGGCCCCAGGGTGATGGGGCAAAAAATGGCTGCTGGTATCACCAGCCCAGCTTGGAGGAAGCCAATGGGGGTGATGACAGGGCCATACCAACCTTCTTGTAGATGGCAGCGATGAGGCTGGCACGCACATTTATGCCAAGCTGGAAGCACAAGCTGAAGTACTGCTGCAGGCAGAGGGACTGGATCAGCGCCGTCAGGAAGAGCAGGATGGCGTACAGATAACCTTGCCAAGCAAAGGACTCCTCATCCGACACAAAGGTGATCAGCAACCTGGAGGGTAAAGAAGCCCATGAGACCCCCACCCTACTGAGACAGACCCAAGCAGGATGCTCCAAACCAACACAGGGAGAGCATCCTCACAAGAGCAGTGGCAGACACCCTGCCCCAGACAGCTGGCTCCATGCTCAGCAAGCTGGGGACCCCTGTTCTGCTGGGTGTCCTTGTTCTGCCAGGGACGCTGCATTTCACATAGAGCAGTGGGTCACTAATCCACAGAGACCTTGCAGCTCTGCAAAACAAACTGGGCAGGTCCTGTTGGGCTAAGATGGACTGACTCATGCAGGGCCCCAAAGAAGAGCCAGGACTGTCTCCAGGGAGGGAGCAGGACTGCAAAACAAAGGCTGTAGGAAAGCAGGGAGAAAGACCTCACCCGTAAGAGCTGGCAGCCAGCTCAGATCAGTTCTTCATTAAACTATAACCCAAAACATTCTGACACCTTTGGTGAGGGCACAAAAAGTCCCCAGGGTGTGGGGCCAGAGAGGTACACATACGGAAATGGTGGGGTTGGATGCATTGCACACAGGGAGGTGGTTGGGCTGGGTGCAAAGCCAGGACAGGGCATGGACAGGGACAGGGAGAAAGGACTCACTTCAGCAGCTGGGGGCTGACAAACACAAGCCCATCATGCACTAGCTTGAAAGCCACTGATAGCAGGAGGTTCTGCCAGAAGGTCTTGCACAGGGTTTTCACCAGCCAACCCCTGGGGAAATCCTTGCGAGGGACAGAGTCCCCTTTGTCTCTCTTCTTCCTCCTCTTCGTCTGCTTCTCCTCCTAGAGGGAAGCCCACACAGCAGTAAAGGAGCTGGTTGTGCAGGCTTCCTGCACCTTAAAGGATGCTTCCAGGGCAGCACCACAGGCCCCAGATCAGGTATCCTGAATGAAGCCTTAGTTTTACCTTCCTGCCATGTTCTCTCTCGCTGATCTCTGCTCACATCATGCACACCCAGTACTAACACCTCTCTTGTGCACCAAAGACAATTGTTGCAAGCCCCAGACCAGCTTGAACCTCTTAGGCCAAAAATCAGGCACCCCAGGAAGAATCTGAGGCCAGGGATGATCACAGAATGATGTTCACTTCATTGCTGGGAGATGTCCGGGGTAGGGAAA